AAACATCTACCCTGTTACCAGTTTTATCTTTCTGTCATGAGCACAACCCAATGTGACAAGAGCCAGCCAGCCAGCCCCCCTCCCCCCCCCACCGTTGGAGGCAACGGCATCACGGCACCCTGAATTACCCCATTTCCACCGCCATGGAAACATCAGGGTAGACAGAATGGCGCATCTCTGCGAAGCCTTCACACCGAATCGGCAGGCGGGGTTTAAAGCGATCGGCAGCCAGCAAAAGGCCGAAGGAGTGAAGGGGGTGTCATTGTTTTTCACCGAGAATGACTTTTCCATGGGTGAGATACAAATAAAGCCTGAAACGCGGCCAACATGATCAAAGGCTGCTTGACACAACAGGCAGGCCAGAGTAATCAATGGCAGCACAGCGTCAAGGAATATCAGCGGCTTTCCATGAGGCGGGCAGCACACAGCCGGGGAGCGTATGAGAGCCAGTGCGCTCCACATGCGCGCTTGCAGGGAAAGCCGTGTTTTTCTGCATGTGTGTACAAACACGTCCAGCTTGGGAAGGAAGCGCGTTTCTTCCGACTGCCCACACATTGTGGGAAAGGGGCTCATCACAGCACCGCCTACCACAAACCAACAAATAATGACCTGCAATCCTAGGAGGAACAGCACGGGGGCAGCACTGGGACACGCCTCTGCTCCACTGGGGCAGGAGTCTCCACCAAGCCCAGACGTTAACAGCGGCAGGCCAGGGGCTTGTCTGCTCGCTGTAGCTCCCCCGCCCCACAAACACACCGGTCAGTTTGTTAGCTGCATCAAATGAGACTGGATCACAAGATAAAGTGCCCCCCACCCGTAGTCAGCTGAGGAGGAACCCTCGCTCTCCGCCAGCTGCTTTCCCACCCGACACCCCCCTCCCCTTCGCCCCCGGCCCGTGTCTGACTGGCCGTCACACGTTTAGCCTTTGCCACCGGTAAAAGGCAACAGGATCCCCTCACCGCCTGCGATGAATTTTGCATGAAAACATGCGGCCAGAGCAGAAAAGTTACTCGCTGTCATGTGAGCAGCGTGATAAATGTTTAATGAAAACAACACCGCACAACCCCCCCCCCATCCCACTCCCCCCCGCTCCCCGCTGCCGTGTCAGGAAGCAGCGACAGGAGAGGGGAGGCGTTTGATCCTTACAGACAGTTTAAAGGCGTGAGGCAGGGGCACCGGGCTGCCACACCCAGCAACCTGTATGCTAATACGCAGCTTGGTGTGTGTGCGTGGGGGGGGGGCAATTAGCATACGGGCTCCCCGGATGCGGGGACCGAGAGAGGGGGGGTGTCGGGGGGCGTGCGACGGGCTGCAAGAAAAGAGGAATACAGAGCTACTCCGCTTCGGCTCAGCCTCAAACAGGCCATGAACACATTTGTTCCAAAGGAGGGAAAATTGGAACTAAACGAGAGGCGTGGGGGGGCAGAGGCGAGTGACAGCACCAAACAGCCCCCTGGAGCGTTTCCGCGACGACTTTGATCCAGCTGTCACCGTGCTGCAGGTGTGATGCGCTTGACTCCCAGCCCGCTCCGCTCCGGCGCGCCGTAACCGCATCCTTACTCCGGTTCTCATCGCCGTGGCCGGATCGCTCGCAGCTCTCACCCTAATTACCGGTTTGTTTTTCAGATTCTGAGCCGCGTTATTCATCGGCTAGTCAGCATTAACGGCAGCGCTAATGCCATTAGCGATAAATGCTAATTGCTCAGGACAGCCGCTGGCCTACTGATCTCTGTAGTATAACTGAGATAGTG